AACCTGATTTTCAAACTGCAGGTTTCTTGATTTTCCCGAAAAGTTAAATGGTGGTTAGGAGATCGTCTACTTCAACTTACCTGTGGTCCAATTTACCGTCCTTAAGTTAAATTAGTATAGTCCGTGGCGCGAAGCGCCGCGCACATCTGCAATTTACATGCGGAACAACTTACTCCCAGCGGCCGCGGGAAGCAACTTTGACCTTTTTTTTCACTTTATACTTACTTCTGAAAATTTCCTTCTCTGCCTATCCTATTTCCCCACCCCACAGAACTCTATAACCACTGTTTTTGCAGGACAGAATGCTGAAATAGGGGTATATGAGTGGGGTTACATAAGCTACTTTTGCCCTATTCATGAGCCACGCCACATTCTGATAACGGAAATATTTCAGCCAATAATCTCTGCAAAATGCTGCATTCACGGTAATAACCTGCCCACTTCTTTCACTTTACTTGAATTTCTCTCGTAATAGGTCTTAGCTGAAATGAAACTGCAGCAGGAAACTATTGAAAAGCTTCACGCCGCAATTAGAGCGAAGGACGATCCCGTCAAGGTGGTGCAAACGCGTCTCCATCTGCGCAGACAGAGGTGCGGCAAGGACCTTTGCGAGGACACACCTCACTCAAAGTAAGTCTTCGAGCGATTATACCAGCATAATTAATAAGGCTACTTTAGCATAGTAAGTAGCCCCTGTTGAACAAAGTAACAAATCAAACTATCGTTGGCTATCAAACTACAATCCTGCACTTATCTTGCGGCTACACATTGTCCTATGCCGATTTAAGATCTAATGTGGGGGACATTTGCGCCAAATCCGGAACCATTACTGAAAAACGGGTCAGAAAATGCGTTCAAAACTGAGTTTTGATTGCTGATCTGCCCTCCGCGCTACGTGACACTTTCTTCTATTTACTACCGTCTCATCTATTTGGACGTCCATCCTACATCTTATGAGTTTGACTTCTTCTTTCAACAGTGTTTTGGAGCATGTGTTCCGGCATCTGCTGTACCAAGCAACGGCTGCACTATGGCGTTTTCCGATTACTAGTGCGTACTGTTTCACTCTGTTTCCCGATACAAAAGCCCTGAAGGCTTTACGTTTCATACTCATTACAAGTCTATTGTTTTCAAATATAGATCCAGTTCACAATGCCCTCTTTCGCCTTCAATAAGTACACATGGAGCCAAAGCCATATGTGTGCTGGTGCCGTATTCGCTGGGTCATTTGGCTTTCTTAGTGGCTATTCATCTTCGTTAGTAGTAGTTTATTTTTTTTGCAATATTCAAGTAACAATGGCCAGTCTGTCTTCTCTTCTACCTGTTCATATGATGTCACTAATTCCAACTTTGATCGTATTCCGCGGTAGACTGCTCTAGACATCCTTAATAATGAGAACATCAGGGCTACATGACCGCCCTTGTCTACTAGGGTAGCAATATTCCACGTTTATACATAAGTTTCACTAGGATGGATTTAATCGTTTGCAGAACAGTATAATTAGACTGCAGCGGATGGTTTCAGTTCATTTTTTTATGAGAAGGATAGGCGAACACCTTTGGTCTGCCTATTGGTGTCTAAAAACTCGAATGCGACAAAAATTAGCTGCCTGAAGGGCTAAAATAATGAACACCAACTCCTGCAAAATTAGTGTACGTACAACATTTTCAAAAGATTGCATTATGATAGTTCGACCATAGATTTCGAGGAAGTTCACCATATGCTCCAAACAAGTTGGTGTAGGGAAGGTGACTGAAGACAGGGGTTAGTTTGAAGTGAATTTAGACGTCGTAACTGTCTACCGCAATCTCCAGCTTCACCTGCCTGAGCCGGTGACATGACAGAGTCGAGATGGTTGAACAGGATCCAACGCTGGTCGCTTTCTGCAATGGAGACCAGAACACGACGTGATTTAGTTTTAAGTGGTAGTAGACTTTTGCGCTAGAGACATCGCACTACCTACCTTCCGTCACCTGCAGCCGATGTGAAGAGAGTCAAGGTGGCCGAGACTGAATGGGATCGGACATCTTCGGGGCAGGATTTTAGTTGGTCGGCCCGTAATATGCAGTCCCAAGCTATATCGGGGCAAATACTAGTCTTACGGATTAACAAAATGTCGTTGAATAATAGCTCAAATTCTACCATGCCTTCATGTCGCAAGGTAGTGTCATTAGCCGTTTTCAGGCTAACTTTAGACTTTGGGAACATGCACGTACGAGCTTCCTCATGCTCAACTGAGGTGATCCTCTGAACGCCCGGGTTATACTGGG